TTCTCCCCGACGCAACTCTCCTTCAAACACCCAGCCGGTGGCAAGCACGCAGCCGGCGGGGGATTACGCTGGACGAACGGAGAGTCACTCACCGCGTTCTTCACGACCTGCAGGCACGAATCAGCCTGCAACGCCTCTGCCCTGCAAAACCTCGCTGAAAACAACCCCGGGGCCCCGAAGGCACCGGCGGAGCAGGGGGATCACGGCAGCAGCGAGCACTCACCTTTCGGCCTCCTCCACTTGCTGTAAGTTGAAGAGCAGCGAGGGCACGATTTTGTCCATGTGCTGTGGGTCCCAGATGTTGGCTTGGAGTTCGTCGTTCACCGTCTTCCTCACCACTCCTTGCAGGCCTTTAATGCCGGACATCCGGATCCTGGGGAACAAATTGACACCAAAATGATTGACTACCTATATAGCATATGTTATTTTATAACACGGTGAAACAACGGGTGAAACAACGGGTGAAACAAGGGGTGTTATCTTATAACACGGTATTTTATACACGGGTGAAACTGTGCAAGAAGTTAGAGAGAAGGCAGTGATACCTGCTGCAGTGCCCCAGTCCCCAGCTCCAGTCCCGGTATACCCCAGGGCAATCCTCCTGCCTCGCATCCCCGAGAGATGCAGCTTCCCGCAGCCCGACAGACGCGAGCGGGAAAGACTCTGAACCAGCTCAAACCATCCTTCCAGCAGCGGTCGGTTCCCAGCCACCGTCTTTCCTGGGAGGCTCCCGGACAAGCAGCAGCCACCCACCTCCGTGGCACGCACCACCCGAGATGGAGAGGGGGCACCGGCGAGCCTGGCCTCTCCGAAGGATTGGTTTTGGACCTGGGAGGTCTCCGTTCTCCGGCTGTGGCACTCATGGAGGGTTTTCCCATTTTCCCCACTCCCAGCAGCTGCAGAGCCGAGCTGCAACCACAGGGATGCTGGATGCCAGGGAAACCTAGGTGCTTTTTGACACCTGGGTCCTTTCTGGGTCCAAAGATCCTGACTCTGCTCTAATCAATAAAGTCATCAATGAAAAAAACCCTACACAGCAGGATTCCCAGGTCTGAAACCTCAACACCCGCTGCTAGTGCCTGAGAAAGACAGGACGTGCTTATCTGCAGAAATAAATGCATTAAATAACCTGCTCTGAGGTCTCCCTAAGGCATTTTGCAGATGAAATCAAGGCAATAATCTGACCGAGAAAGAACTCTTGAGGAAGGAGCTTTGAGCAGGACCAAGGGCCCAGAAAAGCAACGCTCTCTTTTTTAATTACAGGAGCTGCAGAATTTCTCTCTTCCAGTCTCCAGCACAATTCAGCCAGCGTCACCGGTGCCCTGAAGGTCAAGTGACAATACTGAGCCTCCACGAGGAGTGACGAACCTCAGGGGTTCACCCTTCCGCAAGGCAACCCGTCTGGGAACAGCACCAAAACAGCGCCGAAACGCTGCCGGACATCTGGGCTCTACTTAAACCTCGTCTCCGGAGGCAGCGGCTCCTGCCCAGAGCTTCCCAGCGAGAGCCACAGGTGCTACGTCATGGCTGCCTCCGAGGGCTGTTTCAAGCGCCGGGTCTTTTTAAATACACCACTGACAGGCCTGGCCTTGGCAGCAGTAAACAACATTAATCTGTCTGCTTTAGTGGTAATTAATCCCCTCGGGGTAGGCTTCCCATCACAGCAAAGCAAGTCAGTCCTGGATGCTGTCTAGAGAGACGTAACCGCCTTTAAACGTGGAAAATACCAGACCACACGGCTGCAGGAGGCAGCTTTTGAGCAAACATTCATTCCACTAAGAGCGGGGGGCCCCTTCCCATTATCACCATCCTTCCTTTTGCGGCCAGGATCACTTCCCTGCCTCCTGCTGCGAGCCTCAGCCGGCTGCGGGCCGAGGCCCTGAAGCAAAGATGATAAATGGCATCATCTGCTAACGTTTTGCCCAAAGAAAAGAAGTCGGGAGCCTGAGGGCACGCTTGTCCCTTGTCCTGCCATCAGCCGCGGTCAGAGCGAGCACAGGACAGCAAATGCAAAGCAACTTCTCTTACACACACGTCATACCTGCATGCAATATCCCACACAGCAACAGAGGCTGGATACGTGCCGCGCGGTGGTTTCCTGCCTCCTCGTTCATACGGTCAACAGGGTTTAACGCTTGGAAAATAAGGGAGGGTAAAGAACAGCAGCCTGAATGCGCCCAGCGCTGGGGAAATCCCCGTGCATCTCCATCACGGCACAAAGCAATCAATCCGTGCACAGCCTGCACCAAGCCGTCCCTAAATCAGGTGTTTTTCCAGGAAAGGTGGAGGCTGGAGCCCCCCGGGGACACGGTGGCAGAGCCAGCGGGACCGGGGACACCCCACTCACGGTACTCACTTCGTCCGGATGTCCAGGTCGTCGTGGCTGGAGTGGCACATCTCACTGAAGCGGGACACAAAGAAGTCGTAGCTGCGGTGATAAGACGGGGTGTCCTCCTCGATGTTGGCAAACTTCACAAACTGGGAGAGAAGAAAGAAGGGGTCAGCCCAGCGGGAGCGACAACAAAAATATTCTTAAAATTCCTCTCCAAACCAGCCAAGGTTTGTGGGGCTCAGCC